GGAGGAAAAGAGATCACAATCTGGCCTTTGTTATCCAGTTTGTTCTCCAAGAGTTCATACTTGAGGGCCCCTGGAGCAGATTCTTGGAAGGGCTCCACTTTGCACCCCAGCCAAAATGATCTGAGTTTCCATATATTCTTAGCACACAATGGAGCAACGTCAGCTCCCTTAACCCCACACCAGCCAGAGGGAGAGGTCCCCATCAGGGAAAACCAGCTCCTTCTCTTCTTCTACTGAGAGGAAAAGGGGAAGCCAAAGGAGCAGAGAGTGACCAGAAGAAATCAGAGTGGTCAACAAAGACTCTGTGTCAGCTGAAATAAAACCCCAGCTCTCCAAGGAGAGTTGACTTCAACACCACGCTGCCCTCAGCTGCTTTTTTGGCTTGGCTTTGGTCAAATTTCATTGCTGGTCTGAGTGGGTTTGGTTAGAGGACACAGTTCCTGTGAGTCATCTGCAATCTCCAGCACCACCATAGGAAAGGCGGATGTGGGGAGCCAGGAGACCTGGGCACGTCTGAAACACAGAGCCCAGACTGCTCCTCCCTTGTTCTTCCCCTCTGCTGCAGTGTACTGACTCCAGCTGCTCAGGAAAAATGGGGGAAGAGGGGAAAAAATCTCATGCAAAAATTCAACTTTTTGTAAGAAAAGCTCCACCACTCCAAAATTAAAAATGTTTGCCAGCACAGCAAACATTTGCCAGCACATATTTGACTTTTTGCCAAAATATTCTGGCCCAAACTTGGGAGAAAAAGTCAGGATTGTCTATGGAAAGCAGATACTTCTCATGAAAATATTCATTTAGTCAAATCCCCAGGTTTCTACTGAAAGTCAGCTTCAGTGGAAAATGCTGACGAGCTCTATTATTGGCACAGCTTTAATTTTCCTTTGTCTGGAACAGACACGGAGAAGACAGCATCTGTCAAACGTAGTCTTTAGTCTTACATTATTATTTAGCCTGGAATATTGTTCAAGGACTTCAGGATAGGTTTGAGCCATCACAGAGCTGGGTGCTGTGCACATCCACCAAAGCTGGCCCTTGCCCTGGAGGGGATAGGATTTAAGCAGAAGCCATGGAGAAGATAAACAGCTGGGGAGAGCACAAGGTAATTTTGGAGGGGTCCTGAGCAGCGTGATGAGCAAAGGGACGCTGTGCTTCCCCTGCACCTGCTCTTCCCCCCAAGGCTTTGTGCTCAGCCACACGGCAGCTGGGCAGGCTCACAGCTCCCTCAGGGCAGCCTGACTCTGCCCTGGCTCCAGAGGCAGCTGCAGAGGAGGGGAGAGACAAATCCTGCTCTCCTCTCCCAGCCTCCAGCCCAAATAATCCCTGGGGTGGAGAGGAGAAAGCAAGCAAGTCATTTCTGCAGCCCTCAGACACTGCAATCCTGCCTCCTCCTCACCCTGGAGAGGGACACGCTCTGCCACCCTGCCCCTCGCAGCCCACGTGTGCTGAGGGATCGAGTCAGACAGGCAGGATCACAGAATCCAGGTTTGGGTTGGAAGAGACCTCAGATCATCTCACTCCAGTCCCCTGCCAGGGCAGGGGCACCTCCCACTGTCCCAGGCTGCTCCAGGCTCCATCCAGCCTGGCCTTGGACACTTCCAGGGATGGGGCAGACAAAGCTTCTCAGGGTCTCACCACCCTCACACGGGAGAATTTCTTCCCAAAATCCAATTTAAACCTGCTCTCTTTCAATTTAAAGCTATTTCTCCTTGTCCTATCACCACATGCCTGTGTAAAAAATACCTTTATTCCAATTATTTTAACTCACACTGCATTTTTGCCCAGATCCATCCTTTCCACGGCATCCCACTGCCAGTCTGCCACACTCCCCTTCTGCCCTCACTCCTCACATGCCCTGCATCATTTTATGCCTCAATCAAACCAATAAAAGCACTTCAAGAGAGTAGTGAGAGAAGGATCTGTGCTGGTTTCAAAGAGCTTCCAGAATTGCTTATCCTCTTCTGTAAGAGATTAAAAAGGAAACACTAAGAAAGGAGCAAGGCAGAAAGAAAGCATGAGGAAATAAATAAATAAATAAATAAATAAATAAATGTATATAGTTACTTTTGGTTAGTCTCGATGTGCAGTCCCATCCCAGGGCGCCTTGTTCTGTGCTCATTTGAAGTATTAGTCACTTTTTCCATTAGAAGCTGTTATTCTAGGGGGATTTATAATGTATCTGTAAAATTGTCTCCAGGCTTTGCTTGGCATATGAGCTCTCAATCCATGGACAGAATGTAAAGAAACTACAGTTGTTTGATTTATAGGGACAGGGCACAGGGAGCCAGGGAATTTTTCCATGCTCAGTGGAAATAAATTCACATCATGCCTCCGGTGCACAGGCACTTACTGCTCCAGAAAATTCACCAGTTGGGTGCAATCTCACACTGGCCAAGAGGAAAGCAGCAAATCAATGATTATTTAATATCTCCCTGCCTGAAACCCAGCCCTGCTCTGTGGCTCCTCACCAGGACCCACCCAGCCCACTGGTGGGTGGGACAGCCTCATTCCACTCGGGTTCAGAAATCCTGCCCTTGGCAAACCTTTTTCAATTCTAATTCCTACACGGGGCATTTCTTTACCCACTACAGAGGTTCCCTGACAGAGAACCTCAAGATTTTTTTCCTGGGGAGGCCTATGGTTCATTTAAACTTTGCTCTTGTTTCTTAATACGCATCTGCCCAAAGGTTGGGAGGGATGAGGAAGGGCTGGTGATCTGATACAGGTGGCAACTGCTCCTGGATGGCAGAGGTGTTCGGGCAAAGTGAGAATGGGGAGGTGACAACCTTTGGGAATCACAAACCCTGGAAAAACACCCCAACACTTTGCTGGTGGTCCTCCTCCATGCCATCCATGGCTGAGGATAAACCCTTTTGCAGGGCAGCTCTGACCTGGGCCAACTTTCACCCAAACTGCTGCTGGAGGTAGGGCTGGACTGGGAAAAATGGAAGGATTAGGGACAGGGATGCACACCAGGACAGAGGAAGGGAGAGCCAGAACCTTCTTGCAGCTTCCCTGCAGCGCTGCTCAGCAAAGCACCAAGCCTAACGTGGACGCTTCAAGGAAACAATAATCTAAAATTGGAGCACGGCAAATTATTTATTCAAACTACAGCTTTCCCTCCCCCCTTGATTAGCAAACCGCTGGGGAGTCAGCCCTGATTTTCTTCAGACAGATGCAAACGCTCTCCTCCTCTCCCCGTGCCACGGGGCTCAGCCCGTGGGGGGCTGAGGAGCTCGTTGGTATTCGCCTTGTGTAGCAGCTCCTTCAATTCACACGTTGTTCTGCTCTCCGGCTGGAGCACAAACTTTTTCTTTGGGAGCACACACTGCAAATGATGAATTTGTTTGTTTTCTGCCTTTTTTTTTTTTTTTTTCCCCAGGAAAACATTTAGACTGCAGTGTGCAAACTCTCCCCACACGCTCACTCAACTACTTGCACCCAATAATAAAACAATCTATATGAAGCATTGCGACTCACATCACTGAGTCAAGTTTTTTGGGGGGTTGTTCATGTTTCCATTCATCATTTATATAAAAAGCCATGTGAAGCTCTGAGGAACAGACAACAGAACACGTAGCAGATCTCAGGAGTGTGCTGTGGAACTGAAGTGGGAGATCCCAGCACTGAAATCCTCTCCCCACTTAACTCAGAGGCAAAACGTCCACACAAAAGCCAAAATTTCACCCCTGGGACTTCGGCAGTGGGAGACCCAGAGCTTGGCAACAAACAGGGAAGGCTGTGAAGGGTTCAAAGTATCAGATGAAGCTGAGCAGAGACATGAGAGGAACAAAGGAAGTTCACATCATTATAATTTATTGATGATCTTGGCCTGATTGCTTCAGTGTTTTGTCTTAGCAGAGCCCACCCTGGGCAGCAGCGAGTCCTGTACGTCACTCAGCTGTGAGGATGTGGAAGTGATGTGATGATTTACAGAAAAAGTTTTCTTAATTAAATAATAAAGTAAATAACAAAGCACCACCAAAGCTGGATCTCACCCTCACCCAAGCTGTTGCTGGGAACTGGCCAGAATCTCCTGACCTCACTGCCACCAGAGCACAGCTCTAGAAATTCCCTCACCATAGCTCACATTTTTCCAGCTCTACCAATTCACCCAGCAAGTGCCATGGGAAATTGCTACAGCTTGAGGCATCCAAACTTGCTGAAGAATGAGCCAAACTGATTCTTTTCTTCAAGGAGGAGGGTCTTAGGGAAAATAAAATGCTGGGGGTTCTTTGTCCCCGTATCTTGGATACAAGAAAACTCCCACGGCTTGTCAGAAATCAGAGCAGCACCAGCAGCTCATGGCCTTTTCTTTTTCTTTTTCTCATTCCCTCCCTTTTTTTTTCCCCAGTGTGTGAGTGTGTGCTTAGAGCAGGATGACATAGTGATGGGTTTAAGAGACCGTGAGCGCTGAGACACCAATTTCTAACGCAATACAGGGTGCAGCTTCTTTCCTGTGTGATCACGGGTGAAAAATCAAAAGAAGTAATCCAGGAGACTAAATACACTCCCCAGCCATTCAACTCACTCATAAATATGCTGAGCAAGAAGCTTTGTGCAAGAAAACCCCATCACTCCTATTCTGTATTTTGTTTAACGATGAGTCAAATCCTCCACACTCATCTTCCGACTTTGCTAGTCTGGGTTCACAGAGGTGCATTCCCACCCTCTTCCTTAGCAATTTTAGGCCGATGGGTATCATTTCAAAACTAGCAGGTTCCCAGTTTTCCTCTCCCATCTTCAGTCCTGCTCCCTGACTCTTTGCAGGAAAAGAAACGTTGTCACAGCACCAAACTCCAAAACAAAGAGTTTTAACTAAACTCACCCCTTGGCACCAGCAAACTATTCAAAAGAACTTCGCAGGAAGCCTGCCCTTTCCTGCGCGCTGCTAACACTCCAAAATAAAGCAAATTTGGGACACGGCAATGAAATTAAAACCCTAGATGCTGTCATTTCCTTTTTAAGGCTGGAGGAGCCCTGGAGCCCATTAGCTATTGACAAGAAGGGGACCCTCCAGCTCCAGGCTGGATGAGCAGACACTCAGGGAACAACCAGACCTTTGTTTACCATCAATGCAGATGTCATAAGGACCAGGAACCCGCATTCGCCAAGGACCGACCCGTGCCTATCAGGGACCGCACTCTCCGCACACTGGGAAGTTTATTCCTACATAAATATATTCGTATTAACAGGCACATTCTATCTAAGAAGGACGTTTGAAATAATTCCATCCGAGCCAGCACAAACCCCAGCAGGGTGGGATGCGGGCGACCAGGGCGGGATGCGGGTGGACCTCTCCGTGAAAGAGGCTGAAGGTACCGGTGGGTTTATGCACGTATGAAGTTTGCTTTGGTTTGCAACATCGCCACCGAGCCGCGGGGACTCCTCTCAAAGAGTCATTTTCTTCTTTTTTTTCAGTTATATTTTATAAACACCAACTTATTAATTGAAAATTATTAATTGAAAACTACTTTTTTTTTTTTTTTTTTTTTTTTTTTTTTTTTTTTGAGTTCTAAGCACCGGTAAATTCCCCTTGGCACAGCACAGCATCCCCGGAGCGCAGCCCGGCATCCCTCCACCTCGCTGCTCCGAGCCGAAGTTGCGGAGGAGCGCAGCCCTGCCCGGGCAGCGGGCACCGAGGCGCTTTTGTTCGTCCCGGGCACCGAACCCGCAGGTCCCCGCGGTCCCCCCGATGCCGAGCGCCTGCACTCACCAGCTGCAGAGTGCAGAGGAAGATGAGGGTGCAGCGGCCGGTGCAGCATCCCATGGTCCCCGAGCAGCGGCGCAGGGCAGGGGCAGCCCGCTGGCCGCCGCCCTGGGGCTCCGCTCCGCTCGGCGGCCGCGGAGCTCGCTCGGTGTCGCTCGCTCGGTGCCGCTGCCGGAGCCCCTCCGGGAGCCGGGGAGGAGGCGAGCGGGGCCACAGCTTAAAAGGGCAACGCTCCGGCGGCGCTGCCGTCCCGCAGGCTGGGCGGGCAGGCGGGGCGGGGGCTGCCGCCGACGCCGGGATGCGCCCCCCGGGCCCCCGCAGGCGCGCTGGGATGCTCCGGCCCCGGCCCTCCCCCGGGAGGCGGGGGCAGCTCCGGTTCCCCGGACGGGGCAGCCCCTTGTTTTCCTCCCGGCCGGACGCGGGAGTGAGCGGTCAGTGCTGGGGCTGGCCAGGTGTGCGTGCAGAACACGCGGGCTGGGCAGCTCCTCTCCTCTTCCCACATATGCGCCCCCGGGCAGGTGATGTGGGAGCTCCTCTCCTCTTCCCACACGGTCTGTGCAGCTCCTCAACTCTTCCCACATATTCTCCCCCGTGCAGGTGCTGGCATGTTCACCCTGAATATTATAAAGCCTGGAACTAACCTAAAATGTAATGGTTTTTCTCATAAGATTTGTCAGAGTGGATGCACACGGAAAACAAACTCCTAAAGGGCGATAAGACACGGGATTCTTTAAAATGCACGTTTATGGGTATTTTACAGTGTACTCAGGCTTGAGAAGGAATTCCAGATGACTGGGAGCAGAGGGATGTAGGAGAGCATCGCTCTACTTCCAAAGGTGCTTCTATCTGAGCACCTTGTACGCACCACTCGCTGTCCCCTGCAGCTGCAGAAAAGCCAGGCAGTAGACTTTAATTTTGAACAGCAGAGCAAGTCCACAAACACACAACCATCTCCTTTACACGCCCGAGTCCTTCCCATTGCCTCCCCTGCCAAGGAGAAGCAGGATCCCGAAGGCACGGCTGTGCCAGCCACCCTGTGCACACATTTGTGGCCGGCCCGAGGAGCAGGTCACACACCACACGCTGTGAGTGGGACAGACTTGCTGCTAAGCTCAGCACAACAGGATAAGAAGCTTTGGGAGAGCCTCATCTGGTGACAAGGTCGTCTCTTTGCAATCTCCGGTGGCTCTGGAGTCTGCACAACAGTTTGTTCTGTCGCCTCTGGCTGTCCCTTCTTCCTCTGAAGCAAGTCAGGGGTTCATTTCTGCCTCCCAAGCAGGGTGTGACTCCCCACAGCAGTGATCAGCCTCACTTCCAGTTTAAATAAGCACGGCCGCTGCTCCTTGCAGTGGGGTGAGAAGGAGGTGGCAGCTGAAATCAGAGCAGCTCTATCATTTCACTAGAGGAAAGCACTGCCTGCCTATATCCGAAGGAAGCAGGATTGGTCCTCAAGTGCTAGGAATATTTAAAACCTTTTATTAACAACATTATTGTTATTCACATCAGCCACAGCGAGAAACAGAACAAACAAACAACGTCTGAATACCTGAGATTAGAAGGCAGACTCTGAATTGATCACAAATCCTTCTGGTTTTAAATGGTAAATATATTGATTACCTGACCTGTGCACTGTGCATAACCAAGGCATCAATTAATGCAGTCAGGTACAATAAAACACATTTTATTATAGGTGAAAGGAAAACACCCAGAGAGGAAACACCCAGAGAAGAAACCAATTTATTTCACCCAGAAGACTGTGGACTGAGGAAGCTTTGGCAGTATTCACATTCCCCAGAAGACGGATTCTGAATGGAAAAGGCAATGGAGCAAAGATCAGTTTATTTTTTCATGAATGCAGATAAAACATTCCTTACGAACTGCACAAGGAGGTCTCACTCTGCACTGTAGGGTCAGGCAACTGGCATCAGAATTAGAACATGAGCTCAAGTTGGCCAAAAGCAGCCTGGGGTTAGGCTGGACTTGTTACATGCTCTGGAAACTGCTGGGAACAGCAGGGGAAAACTGGGATATAGCCATGCACGTTAGAACCTGGCTTTTGTGCCAGTTCTTAAGGTTTTCTGCATCTCTTGTTCCACCTCCTGTTTCTAAAAACCTCCTGTAGGCATTGCTATTTTCCAGCTCAGTTGTACTGCAAAGGAGACACAGTGTGAAACAGCAAAAGGTATTGCTGCTGACGGGCTATTTGACAGAAATAGGATTTTTTCCACCTGCACTTTTATCTTGATAAGCTGTGCAGAAAGCAAGCATGGCTTGGCCAGGACTCCACATGCCTGTGAAGGAAAACACAGACTTTCCTGAGCTTTTAAATAAGGGTGAGGTCACAGGAATAACACAACCTGTATTTCAAAGAGAGACTTAAAACTCCCAGAGCCTGATATTATAATCTTCATTGATATGATTTCTTACCTGTGTATATGACCATTTGAATTCCTGCATGAGTGCGGCAGGACCACACATCTACCTTGAAAGTTTAAGTCCTAAAAACAACTACAACTTTAATTTAGCAAAAAAAAAAAAAAAAAAAAAGAAAGAAAATAAAAATTGCTCAGTATTCTGAATATTTTATTTCATGAAGTATAAACTCACCCTCAGCTTTTGATGGATGAAATGTTGCTTCAAGAGTCCAGTCTGAATGTTAAGAAGGATTTCTCCTGATTAAGAGGTTCTGGATGGGGTATGAGGGATTCTTAGCAGGGATATTGGTGTACAGGGATTTGTGTACACAGAGCAAGGCAATCACAGGCACCTGCATCCCTCAGCATGAGGAGAGGACCAAGGACAAAGAATTGGTCATTACTGCAGCCCTCTCCAAATGCCAGGCCACAGGGATGTTTAAGAGATCCCGGTTGTTTCTTTTACCCTCCTTTAATTCCTGAGGATGTGCCTGTATTTTAAGATTCCGATGCACATCCTGACTTCATGGAGAGAATGGAATCACTCCATGCAGTGGGAAACTTCCTTGGGTTCAAATGATGTTCCAAAGGCTGAATGTCCCTGTTCTAGACAGTGTTTGAATCAGGAACCTCTTCTCATGCAAATGTATTGTTGCATGGATCCAGCTGCATTGCCAGGGGTGATTAACCTTAGCTAGTGGGACCTTGTTATCACCCATCTGATTACACCCAAATTTCTGGGAGAAGTCACAGGTTTACTTTAGAATAGATGAAGAAACAAAGTTAGCACACTTGAAACAAAGCAGCAGCACCGTACCACAGCTTGTTCTCTCTAATACCTGCAGCCTCCTTGCTCTGACAGATCAAGAGGAGCAGTGGAGGCTAAAAGTATTAGCTGGGGACATGTCTCTTCACAGCTAAACCCTGTAATTGTCACAGCTGCTGAAGGCAGGAGATGCTCTTTACATCCCGTGGTACCATGGGGTGCATTATTCCACTCGGTTCATTTACATCCACCTCCTCTCCATTTTAATAACATCAGCTGGGTCACGGTGCCTTTGCAGACGTCTGATCAAACACAGCGGTGTCAGAGTGTTCAACCCTTCCATCCACACCCCAAAGGCAAAGCCTGCCTGTCCCAGAGCTAATCAGCCAGCCTGCTCCCCTGCTCCAGGGCACACAGCAGCCTTCCCTGGGTGGCATGTCACATCCTATTTCTGTGTCACAAGTAGAAGTAAGCCCTGCTGCCAGTGGCCTGAGTGATGGCAGCTCAGCACTGCACACACAGGATTTCCTGCAGACACATCCAAAATGATCATTGGCAAGTCTGCACATGCAAGGTGGGTGAGCTGTGAAGCTTCCTGCCACAGGACACTATGGAAGTTTAAAATGTACAACTGACTTAGGATAAATCATCTTCCTGCATGGGAGAAGGAAAGAGCTCTTTCCTGTCTCCTCAAGATTAACGTTGGATGCAGGGAGAGGATCTATCTGCTGGTGACTCAAGGTTGCCTCCAGTCACCTTGGGCAGCCAGCTCTGGCTGTAAAAACTGGACTTTGTGATGTGTCCCACATGTCTTATTGAAGACTTTCAGCATAGAGAAAGATTACTGAACCAACTAGAGAGTATGAAAAAAAGGACAAGAACTCTTGACCTTCTAATTTTAAACTTGTAATTTTTCAAACCTGCCATTACCCTGGGCTAATAATTGCTGCTCTGGGACTGAAGCCAGCTGAAGCCAAGACTATCATGGTAGAAGACCCAAGAGGTGGCAATAGCCCAGACATGTCCTTCTTCTCTCCAGAGGGACTAGAGAAGCAGAGAAGCCCAAACTGAGCAGCACCACGGTGGCATATCCTCAGCAGGCCATGGTCAGAGGAACCACACACTGATCTTCCCCTCCTTTTGCAGCCTGGTGAATTAATTGCTGAGGAAAACAGCCTGGTGACAGCAAAGCACAATGTTTCAGAAATTGTTCTCATTGCTGCACAAGAAAGGAAAAATTCTCAATGACTTTTACGCTTTGAATTTGTTTCCCTGCAGCCCAGGGCGATCTGTAAAATTCATCAGAACTGGTGTGTGAAATCTGTCATTTTCTCTCTGATCCCTGTGAAGTCTCCATTGTTGGGGGGAGGCAGCTCCTAATCAGGGTTTTTCGGCATTTTTACACCACCATCGTCTGCATTTCACATTTGTAATTCTCTAATATTAACTTGCTGAGCTGCACAAAAAATTCTTATCACTCTTTGATGAGCAGGTGGAGGATGGCACAGGGAGAAGGCAGATTCACCAAGTTCTCTGGTACGTCAGAGTAAGAAAAAGGTGAACAATTTGTCCACATCTGGCTGATGTAGCTGCCTTGTTTGTGTGATCGAGGCCTGTATGAAGGAAACCTGACTGGCATCATTCTTTCCCTGGATCAAACACAGCAGCAGCACCCCTTTGCCTCTACACTGGAGTCAAGGTTCAAATCCACACCTTTACAGCTTTGCTAATGTGGCAGTTCTGCTGTAACACCCCACAAACAGCCTCTCACAGCCCTCTTTGCTCTATTTCTCCATGGCTATAAAGGAAAAACATTGAGACAGACACACCCTGGAAGCTGCCAGCATATTTGTTAGTCTGAGGGGGTGCCTTGTGCCACAGACCACCTCACCCAAGCAGCAGCACTGAAAATCCTCCCTCATCCACTGAAATTCCTCACCTGTGTTATTGGTCTGGAGACCAAAAACATGTAACAACTACTGAACTTGAGAAAGGCTGCTCAAACTAGTGTTGTAGTAGCGCTGGGCATGGCATATGCAGGGATAGGACCCAGGGAGCAGCATGGAGTTGTGTTAGGAGAGGTTTAGGTTGGGTATTTGGAGCAGGTTCTGCCCCCAGAGGATGGCTGGGCATTGGAACAGCTCCCCACAAAAGTGGTCTTGCCTCCCAGACTGGCAGAGCTCACGGAATGTTTGGACAATGCTCTCAGGCACATGAAGGAATTGTTCTGTGCAGGGCCAGGAGCTTGATGGATCCTTGTACCTTCCAGCCTAGGATATTCTATGATTCTATGTCAGCATTCCTGATGAAACAGGCACAGCCTGGAGCAGAGGGGAGGCAGTGGCCAAAGGGTTAAAGCCCGCAGGGGAAGCACAGCTGACAGCCCAGCACCTCCACCATGCAATCTGAGTAGCTGGCATGGTTGCAGCCACATTTCCAGCGGCAGTTTCACTAGGCACTGTGACCAAGGAGTAATTCAACGCAGCTGCCAAGGTCCCTGGGTATTGATACCAAGTGATTATTCAAGGTTTCCATGCAACAGTTGCATTTCTCAAATGATAGTACAAAAAAGAGAGCCTGAAGGGTGAGAGCAGTCTCCGGTTTCGGGCACTGGCTTAGGGAGCTCTCATTTAGAAAAGCTGCTTCCCCATTTGCTTAGGAATCATTTCTTCCTCTCAAATGATTACAAACTTCCCCCAGCCAATTTAACAAGTCTCAAGTGATGTGCTGGAGAAGAAATCAATAACGAGTTTCTTTTAGCATGTCTCTTGAAGGACATCTGCAGCAGTGTGGGTGTGCGGTGTCAGAGCGGGCGTTTGTGAGTCCTGCCCCGAGGAGGGGATGAACATGCAGTCCAAAGATATTCCAACACATACACACACAAACCCAGCTATGTTTCTGCTGTGTTTTCAGTGATATTCTCTCCAATCCCAGCCAGGGAGAGCTAATGCGCATTAAGAAGTCAGCAGTGTCAGGTGCCACCAGGCTGAGGGAGCATTTTTTACACACATTTACTTAAGAAAAGACTTAATTGCCTTGGAAATAAGCCACTTGAACCAGCCTCCCAGAGTTCATTCTGAGTATCCACAGAGTAGATTCAAGCAGCACTTCCAGGCTTTTTCCCTCTCCTGGACCAAACTGACCACTTTGATTGCCAGTGCTACAAACTGTGATGTGACGCACATGGATGTGACATAAACACAAAGTTAAAGCTGCGTGGAGTAACAGCTGCTTTTAAAATAAAAGGTTTTGCTTTTCTGTTTGCTGTTCAAATATCAGAGTAAAGCTTCCTGTGGTCTCATGTAAAAGCTTTCCAAATTTTGTTCTATTTTTGAAATGAAAAAAATGCGCACAGGGAGAAGGACTGATGGGGGTTTATAAATACAAGTATCTGCTTAAGTTTTGTTTCAGCTCAAGCTCTGAGGTGGAAAAATATAATGAAAGGATGTCTGAGTGACCTGATGGGTAGCACATTAAAATGCCCTCCCAGCTGTGTGGGGGAGTGGGCACAGTGAGCTCAATCAGAAGTGAATTCCCTATAAATATGCAGAGGAAGGATGGAGGCTGATTACTGTCCTGATTTTGTCTGTGCTTTGAAGAGCTGGACATGAAATTCAGTGCTGGAGCTGTGGTGTGTGGTCATGGCATAGGCAGAACTCTGTGATTCAGCTGTAGGACTAAAGCCCTGCCTAAACTCTGGCTTCTGGTGCCTGACCATGAGCAGGGCTGTGCTGGTCATTAGATGGAGTTACTGATTTGTCTCAGTGTCAAGTTAACTGAGGAAATGTATCAGAAAACATGGGGTTCTCAGCTGAAAAGGAAGGAAAAAAGTAATATTCCCTTGTACAAGTAAAGGGAAGAGACTGTTTTATTAAGTGCATGTGACATTTCTGTAGCTTAATGGCAATATTCATTGTAGCTGGCTAGGTTTGCTAGACTGTGGCTGCCAAATGCAATGAGTATCAATAGTCCCGAGTGCTATGATTAATAAAAATAAATCTTATTCATTCAGTGTAATAAATAATAATATAAAAATAAACATTTAATAACAACTGGTGGCAGAAAATATGTCACATACAATTTTTCCAGTATTTTTTTATGTGATGTAAAGTTAGTAGGAATTTTCCATCGAGGTTTACAAAAATAAGACCCTCCCCAAAGTCACTGTGAACTCTCAAGCTTGTGAGGTTGAAAATGAGGTGAAGCCTTTGGTGGCTCAGGTGACAACCTGCAGTTCCCAGGGTGCTACTCAGAGCAGGAATACCAAAAAATCCTGCAGGAAAAGGGTGTTTCCACAGTCCCATCAATTAACCAGACTTCTCCTGGTGCCAGAAGGGCTGAGTTTGGTGTTGCATTATTGCTCACACAGTTACAGACACACTTCTTACATTCACAGGTGTACTTTGTTCACACAGTTACATGAGTCACACACAGTGACAACGCAGAACTCCAGTGGTGACATTTATCATGCAAACAGGTCCATTCCTCGCTCCTTGCTCCTCAGATTTATTAAGTAGATTTATCGAAGACGGGATCTGCTTTTCTTCTTGTTCCTCCTCAATTTAAGTGTTGTGACATCCTGATATAGTGGCTCATCTCAGGTGTGTTGGGAGGGAAAGAGGCAATAAAAATTCACAGTTTCTCAGTCCATGACAAGTGCTGCTTCTAGTGAGGGCTGTAATTCAGCCCACAGTAAACAAATCCAAAAAGGCTTTTGCCTTTAATGTTTGAAGCTTAGGCTTTCAGCTATTCTAGAAGAGAATTTTTCAGGTATTTTTGTGTGATTTAAACCAAGAGGTAATGCCACTGCATTAATGCCAAGGACTGCAATATTTAATAACCAAAATCTAGTCTTATTAATAGATTATAATATAATAATAATAATTTCTGTAAACCAGAAAAAAGTGAAAATGAATGCTCTTTGGTTTAAATCCTATTCCAGAGATCTTTTTTCTCCTAAGAAGTTTCAACACCATCATTAATTTACAAGCAAAATTGCACACTAGGTAGCTTATCTTAGTACGTTTCCATTTGCTATTAGTCTTCTTCACTGCAATTATGGTGAACTTATTCATGAAATCTCTGCAGAATTTGGCTCTAGCTGTTTTCGGTGCTCTCAAATCAGACTGACCTTTACATGTCTGCATATTGTCCTTTTGAAGCCAAGCAAAATGATTTCTATCTGGAAAATCTCAACATGGAAAACAGCTCAAGGATACTGTGCCTGCCTTGTATTATTTTATGCTGTAATTTGTTCCTTATCATCATGTTTCATATGTTCTTGACATTGGGCATAACAATTATAACAATGGCAATTGTGCTAAAAATATTTGTCATTTAGTTTCAAGCTAGAAACAGCTCATAAGCAGATAAAGAGAACAAGTAGGGAAGGCAGTGCTGGCTGCCTTTGCAAATGTTTTTTCTTGGCATTATCTATTATCTCAGAATAGACATTTGCCACACATTGCAGAGATGGGGAGAGAGCTATGCACCCATCCCAAATTCCAGGAACAGTGCAAATCACACTTGCCAGGGAATGGCACACATTTATTTGCTTGCTGAGAAAGACAAATGTTTGTGGCATCCCTTCATTCCTACTGCTCAGCAGACAGCCCTGTCCTGCAGCCCTCACCTAGCTGAGTCTTTTCTGCTCACTGTATCTGGGGTTGAGGATGACTCCTCGCTCGGGCTGGATTATCTACCAATTATTTGGAAAAACAAAGATTAATATGCTCATTAGGCCCTGTAACACAGCATTTGTGTAATGGGAACCTCATTGCCTGTTGGTTCACGTTTACCAGAAAATGATGGTGCTTATGAGAAGACATTACTTTCTTCTTAACTGGAAAAGCAAGTTATTTAAGCCGAGTTTGCTTTATATTTCATACCCCTTCCTCTGTCAGCCTTACACAACGCACACTTAAGGGCCCATTATCTTCCCATTGATGTGAGGGCATTATGTGTGTAGCCACCATTAATGGTAATGAAAATGGCTCCTGTTAATCTCCTGTGCGCTGATAGTCAGATAATAGCCTACTTATTAAGTACAGAGGCCAGACTAGGAGTTGCACTGAAATGAGCAGCGTATTGTCTCTGTGGGATTCAGATGTAAACACTAAATCATTGCCCTGTGCCTACAGCTGATGATTAAAAAGAAGTTAGAAATGGCATAAATGTGCTTGCCTGGCCTGTGCTTCCAAGCACCACAAAGCAGCTCTGGGCGCTCTTCCCATCTGATCCACCCTCACCTTTGGGAGGGTCTCTGGGGACAAAGTCCTGAGTTAGAAGGGACACACAAGGATCACTGAGTCCAACCCAGACTTTTTGGGGTTTCCATGCACCCAAAACCCCCAAATCCCATTCCGTGCATCCTTGAGAGCATTGTCCAAAACCTCCTTGAGCTCTGGCAGCCTTGGGGCCACAACCCTTCCCTGGGAGCCTGTTCAGTGCCCAACCACCCCCTGTGGGAAGAACCTTTTCATAATATCCAACCTAAACCTCCCCGACACAGTTTGAGCCATTCCCTTGTGTCCTACCCCGGTCACCAGAGAGCAGAGATGCTCCTCCAGCTCCTCTCATGAGGAAGCACAGACCTCAATGATGTCTCCCCTCACTCTCCTCTTCTTCAGACTGAACAACCCAAGGACCCTCACCCACCCCTCTAATGGCTTTCCCTAGACCCTTCCTCATCCTTGCGGCCTCCTTTGGATGCTCCTTAGGGGCTTTATCTCCTCCCTGTATTGATTTGGGTACCCCAAACCATCCCAGCGCTCCAGCTGTGACCACAGCAGCGCAGGCAGACCTGGACGTGAAGCTGGGAGAGACCTGGGGGGTCCAACCAGCCCCTCCATCTGCTATTCCCAGCTTGGGAGCCACACGGGCCATCGCCTGAAATCCCCACTTTGCTCACATCCATAGGTGTGTGAGGAAAAACCACGTAATTCCACATAATTCACCCTCACGGGCATCCCCAGCAATAAACCTCGGGGGTCGTTTTGCAGCCGCACGGAGAGCAGCGCGCCCGCAAGACTCGCTGCAAAGCTTCATTTCAGCTCTGCCCGGTGGAAACAAATACCTTAAACTTCTCTCTGGAGCACGGGGAGTTGGATTTAATAGAATATTTTCGGCACTGCTCGCCCGGCCCGGCCCGCAGCGGGTTAACCGCGCGCCCACAATGCCTCGCGCACTGCAACGTCGGCGGCGCCGGGCGGGACCGGGACGAGGCCGGGACCGGGACCGGGACCGGGATCGGGATCGGGATCGGGATCGGGATCGGGATCGGGATCGGCACCGGGATCAGGACCGGGAGCGAGACCCAGACCCAGACCCAGAGCCAGGCAGGGGCGGCAGCGTTGCTCAGCTCTCCGTGGCTCCCCCGCTCGTGCCCCGCAGCCCAGCCCCGCGCTGAGGCGGCGTGGCTCGGCCCCCGCGCTGTCACACAGGACGGTGCCGAGGGCGGGCGAGGTGCGGCTGGCGTGGCGGGCAGGAGGCAGCGCCCTGCCCCCGATTTCAGCTCTTTCTGCGTTGTTTTCTTGCCTAGAAAGCAGAGGCCGGAGGGCTCGGCGGATCCCGGCCATGTTGTGAGGGAGGGAGGCTGCAGGACGCCGCTGGGATCCGGGTACCGCGGGTGTGCCTGAAGGAATCGCTCTTCTCTCGGCCCTGCGAGGCGCTGGGTGAGTGTGGAGCTGCTCGGCTTTAAAAGTGTGCGCCGGTCTTTGATGTATTTGCGAAGGAGAACCGTGCCAGCTCCGTGGAGATGGGCGCTTTGTGAGATTGCCAAGGTTTTTTCAGCCGCTGTGGCCTTTTTGCACTGGTGGGACTCAGAGGGAGCCTTGAGCACCATGAAGGCACCAGGCCACGTCACCCGCTGACTCTTCGTGTGCTGAATCGCAAAGCCCTTTGCAGGTTGACTCCGAATTTCGTGCTGTATCAGAGGAGCAAAGTCCTGTTATGTATTATTTCCGCTTCTAGTCCACTTCTGCCTTTTTTGCCTTGGTTAGCAAACTAAAGATTTCATAACCAGAAAACTCATATGGTGAACATCTAGTTTTTGCTCTGGGAGCAGATTGTTTGGGAAATAAGAGTGTCAGATTGCTTTATGTGAAGCTAACTCTTTCCACTTTGGAACCCTTGTCAAAAATATTTATATTCATAAATGGAAGCTTACTCAGAAATGAAACCTTTTCTTTACTGCTTATATCTATTTCTATTAGATCAAAACAATTTATATTTCTTTAAGGTGGCTTCTTTCTTCGTTATTTAGCTATGAAACTTAAACAGCACAGGTTTATATACTTAAACACTGGTTTAAGTATATAAAGTTTATATACTTAAGCACTGCTTATATATCCAGTCAGCTATCAGGCCTCAGCTTTTTGGTGGTGATCAATGATAATTTGAACCCTTAAAACTTTGTGAGAAAATCATTAAAAGTAAACTAGGCACCTCTAAAGGTGTTACCTATTAGAAAGCTTAGAACATGACATTTTTACTTTGTCCATTATTTCCAAATGCTTTGGTGGGGGAGGAAAGATGAAAAGCTAGTGCCTTTAGTTACCTCCTCCTTTTCTTGGTGTGGGTGAAGCCCTTCCTTCCCACTAGACAGATGTGGTTTGGGCAGGGAGCTTGGTGCATGTGGAATGGGTGTATGTTCAGACTGCAGTTCGCCTAAGTCTTTCAGTTTTTGTTTAAAAAAAGGTAGTTATGGCAGAACCAAAAGCAATTGCTTCCTTTGTCACCTTGGAGCTGGAGATCTGAAACTCCTGTGTAAGCTCTGGAGGGGGCTGGATATTGGCTGTTGGAGGGTGGATGTAACTTTCTGTTTTGTAGACAATTCCTGCCATGTGCAGAGTTGGAGTGGGAAGGGGCTTTTCTGTTCAGCTCCAGCAGTGCTGGTTTCCCATTGAGGCAGGCCTCTGCATATAATCTGCCTCTGTTGGTTATTCTGATTGAAAATCTGTTAAAAAATGAGGAAAAATGGTAAAGGAAGGGCAGGAGTAAGAGGATTGAACATCCAACCAAAGGGAGGAGCTTTGGGAGCTGTCAATAATGTACAGGAAGATGCTGGGGAAATTAATTCCTGAGGAAAAGATGTTGGCATGCAAAGAGCAATAATGGCAGAGAGGAGGGCCCAGAGGGTGCACTGTTGTCTGTCTGGCTATTCCTGCTGAGTTATTTACTTAATTTCTGTACTGCAGAGGAAGAATTCTACATTATCTCACCAGGGACAGATAGTGGAATTGAAGGCAGAGACTGGGAGTCATATAAATATCTTTATGGTTTTTATTTAGGACATGAGCAAATGCATATGGTGCTATTTCCCTCCCTGCTGACATGCACATGAGTAAGTTGTGGAAGGTTAAATGTTATTGAAATGCTATTGGAAAACGTGTATTTAATTATATGAGAAGTCACTTGACACACTTTCATTCTCCTATTCTTAAAATTACACAATTTTTATTAGATTATTGATAAAAATCTGTGCTTAGTTTTGTTTTAATGCAGGATGGCAAGAAGATTTTATTCACCACTGTTTGCATTGACTTTTATTACAATTACCTGGTTTTGCCCAATACAAAGTAATTAAGGCTGAAAAGATGGCACGTTCTAAACATCAATGAAAGCATTTCACCTTAAATTCCACAGAATTAAGCATTTGTTAACAAGATATTTACAGAGGAATAAGTGCTTTAGATAAAAAGCAATGACTTGTGCTACAATCACCCTCTGCTTTTAGCAGTGGCAGTATGTAGGTACAACACTGAGCTTTTCCTTACTGAGTCACGTCATCTTAGCAGGTGATGCACAGAACTATTTATTGTACTGCTTTGCTTTAGAGATTGAAGTTGTTGTCAGTCATACAAATGCAGTCTTTCCTTACCTGTAGCATTTTACCTTTTTAAACACCCTTCCTTGATTTATTTAAGATAAATACTTCCTCCATCCCCTAGGGCTGTTGTCTGTAACAGTAATTTACCTTCTAAAATTACTGCGAGATTGTTAATTTTATTGATTTGATTATTTGGTCAAACAGCACAGTGAACATAGTTGCCTAAAGGCCTTTTTGCCTCTCATACCAACCAGTGCTGGGTGAAAATATCAACCTGCTGTTTTATGCTTTGTATCTTGACTGGCCAATAAGCTTGATGTTCAGTAGTTGGTGCTGTTTCTAGTCACCTTGGTGCATTCTGTCTTAGAAGTTTGTTTTCTGGAGTAGAAATTATAAGATGGAGAGGAAGTAAAAAGGGAGAAAAAAGATGTTATTTATTTAAAGTTAATTTAAATATGATGCTATTAGTTAATAATAGGAGTTTATTTTTTATCTGAATTGCAGCCTTATGCTGTACCCTACACTACAGTTCTTCAAATCATGAGTGCTTTATGTATTTTGGGTTTTTCCAGGTTGTTTACTGGGTGTAAATCACATTTGTCTTAATGTGAATTTTATCCATAGCATGCCACTGCTCCCTGCTGTTTTCTGCGTCATAAAAATTAGAGTGAGATTATGAGGTCTGCCAGCGAGATATGCCTGTTGAATTACAATACTATTTAGTGTAAAAGATCCCAAGAATTTCCATAATTTCTTAGAATTCAGTTGACAACCAAACTCAATATTTCTGGAAAATCACAAATTTTTGCATAATCTAGTAAGGGGCTCTTTAAGCAATGTGTTCTGCACTCTGAAGTGTAAGAGTTTCTGCTATTTTTTGTGTAGGTCTGATGAGTTGTGTGCATGTGATCAGTGAAATCATGGATGTTAGGAACTGCTTTCAGGAAGGGCAGTGGATGGGCCTGGGAGCAGCATCCAGCAGAGTTGGTTTCGATACCACTTCTGACAGAAGAATTCCTGTGTTTATCACCCCCTGCCCACTTTTCAGCCATACCTGAATTACACCTTCCACTGATGGAGTTAAGATGAATAAATCGCCCCAAAAGTGCGAAGTAAATGGAAAAATAAGGTTGTGGGGTTTATGGTGCTTTGGTTTGTCTGTTTTTCCTCTGCAGCTGGTTGTGAGTCAGTGGTTTAGATTCCAGGCTCTTTGTCACTAGCTGTGCTTGTGAGGTACTGAGCGTCCTGCCAGCATCAAATCCATCATCATGACTTCGTTTCTCTTTCTCCCTTTGCAGAATCATGGCAAGTCCAAGAACAAGGAAAGTCCTCAAGGAAGTCAGAGCACAAGATGAGAACAATGTGAGAAAATTCTGATGTTTAGATCAGTTTTGTAGAATTGAATTTGCTTTTTACTTTCTCCATATGTTCTCTGGGGTCTGCTGCAGCTGCTGTTGTCTTTGTGCTGTGGCTCACTAATGCTAACATAGAAATTTGGATATCTCATGTATTACAATATTACAATACATTGCTGCATATTAAGCACAAGTATTTCAGAAGTTCTAGTGAGGCTGGAACCCCTGAGGTCTTTTCAACAAGTGGTGTCTGGGGCACAACTTAAATTAAAATGATCCCCTTCAAGTAGCTTGATTATACCTTAAATGTGGTAGTCCATGGAAAGATTAAGTTTTATTTATATCAATACATTAAATCTTGAGTGATGAATCTGATCATTAAACTGAAGTTGTTGCACTGTAGGAACAATAAAGCTATTTCTAAAGAAAAAATTCTGTTTATATCTGCTATCATTTACTGCCCAACTGTGATGTGACTGAAAAAATGTTCCAGACTTTAAATATTGCATTCTTATTTTGCCAAGGAAGCCTCAAGAATTCAGTTTGGTTACTTTCAAGGCAGTGGAAATGAAATCAAAATGAATTCTTTGCACAGTATTTTCCATTTTCTTGTCTGTATTTCCTCACTGTTTTTTTGTAGTTGGTGCAGTAATTTTTATAATCCAAGCAGCATAAATAAATACCTGAAGGAAGTTTATGATAGAAGGGAAGGTATTTCCAAACACTAAGAGCCCTTCCTTCTGAAATTATTTTTGATGTGTGATGTTTTCATGATTCGCCTTTTTGAGCTGTGAAAACTTCCCGTGGACAGTGATGACAGATTGCAGAAATAACTGTTTTTCTCTCACAGGTCTGTTTTGAATGTGGTGCATTTAACCCCCAGTGGGTGAGTGTGACCTATGGAATTTGGATCTGTCTGGAGTGCTCAGGAAAACACCGAGGCTTGGGAGTTCACCTCAGGTCAGCCTTTCCAACAGACTGTGGACTGACTTACATTTCCTCAGGGTTCATTATGGCTGTGAGCAGAAGAAGAAGAAGAAGAAACAGCTTCATTCTGTTCAGGAAATTTCTTTTTTCTTTGTAATATATATGTTATTTTTTGTTGTTTTCCAAGAACTGTGCGCAGCTGAGATGGGGTCTATGGAATAAGAACTGTTATGGGTTCTGGAGACTCACAGTGTGTACTTAGTAGGGTCAAAGCAGGGAACAGTTACTCAAACTTTGGAAATCACCAAAGCAAGGAGGCCATTCAGAAGTACACTCTTTGCTTTTGAAGATTTTAAGCTCATTAGTGAGTAGAAGTTGCATAGGAAAGGAGCATTTTGAACTGTTCTGTATGTGGCATGGAAGAAAATATGCAATTTCTGAGATGAGGACATAGAGTCACAGTATTGCCAAGGTTGGAAAAGATCTCTAAGATCATCAAGTCCAACCGTCAAAATACATAATAGACAGAAAAAGAAAATTGCAGAGTGAAGTATGGGAAAAGTTTCTGTTCCATAGTGGGCTAGATTAATTTCTGAACTTTGAAGGAACTGCTTTTTCAGTCACTTGATTGTTGATTGTCTCCTTTAAATGCCAATAAATGACATGATTTTGGCTTATTTCAGTGAGGATCTGCCCACCTTCCTATGATGATCTGTCTTTCTGTACTTGGAGAGTGTTCTCCAGCATGTTTATACTCTCAACTTTTGAGATGGGTTGTAATAAGTTTTTTTTTATCACTGTTGATACAGCATGAAATTATAAGAAGCTGTGATCTAAATTTTATTTTTTTAAACCTGCTTTTCAGTTTTGTGCGTTCTGTAACCATGGACAAGTGGAAGGATATTGAGCTGGAGAAAATGAAAGCGGGAGGTAACAGCAAATTCCGACAGTTCTTGGAGTCTCAAGATGATTATGATCCATGCTGGACAATGCAAGAGAAATACAACAGCAAAGCTGCAGCTCTGTTTAGAGACCAGGTAAGCTCAGTTTTAGGTGAGTCCTCACCTCTATGATCTGAAAATATCAAAGTGCTTTGTAAACTCTTGGTTTTGAAAGGAGGAAAAGTTGCGGTTTTTTGAACTGCTGCTGTGGTTCCTGAAAAGGTAAATGTAAGAGATTGAAATCCTGGAAGAGTTAATAAAAAACCTGAATGAGTTCATGGCTCAAGTATTCAGCAGAAGAGAAAAGGAATGTTGTCCTGCCTGGGAGATGAGGTGGGGTTAGAAGAGTGTTGTGGGCAGGCAGGAGCTTTTCTGCACTAACTTCCTTATTTCGAGTAACACTTTCTAATTTAGCCCAAGGGTATTCCAAGGGTCTGGTACCTCAGAGCTGGCGGTCCAGGACTGCCCTGTTGGGACCCTAAAGGTCTTAGAGTGCTTCTTCCCAAGTCTTGTAAGAGTTTTCTATTGAAATTTTCATTTCTGCATTTAGCTGAGGTAGCTCTGATTTTCAGTGCTGCAGTTTGTTGCAGCTGTTTAGTCAGTGGAGCTATCTCAGTCCTCAGTTCACTGCAGTTCACTACTTCAGCTGTACATTTCTATCCAAAGTGTTTTTTGATAGAACTTTAGTGTATGTAGTAACATACAACAATAATGTAGTTCTGTTCCTCCATTACTCTGTGATTAGTGCTTACATCCGTTCATGAATCCAGTCTTTCCTCTTCAAACCAAACCTGCCCCTTTGAGGAAATTGTCTAATTTTCTATATCAGTTGCCTGAAATAAAACCAGGGCTCAATTCAACATCACAACCTGGGAGTCAAAAAATTTGGTATCTTGTGGGAAAAAAGGTTAAGTGATCCAGTAGCAAATTGGAAAAATGACTTGTCCTTTTGTTACAGAACCAGTTTTTAATTTGTATGAAATCTCTGACTTGGCATTCTTAACTATTCTGCCTGTTGTAGGTAGCTACAGTAGCTGAAGGCAAGGAGTGGTCCATTGAAACTTCTCCTGCCAGGAACTGGACCCCACCTCAGCCTAAAATGTCTCTGTCTTCTGCTCACCGGTACGTGCCCTGCTGATCTAATGTTGGTACAGATACAGCATCAGGTACAGACAAAACATCAAAACCTGATGGTTTCTTGTCTGCTGGGTTTACCCTGTTGGTGCTGGTGTCTGAACAAGCTGGAGTTAGAGTATGAAGTAACAGGACTTTGTTTTTGTAATAATTCTCACTCCCTGCACCTGAGCCTTAAACCATGGCAGAAGGAAGTGAGCAAGAGCAGGGACGAAGCCATGCTTGTTTTATTCTGACTTGTAATGCACCTGAAATTAGACATTTGTGTCTCTCACAGGTAGTGTGTGACATCCTCACCTTAACTGTGGTGTTGTGCCAGTTTGGGAGTGGATACCAGGGAAAAAGAAACAGACTTTTCTCTTCTGCTGCTTATTACCAGGGGAGCATTAAAGCTCTCTACCACAGCAATTCTGTTGTTCTGCTTTTGCATGTGGTGTTTGTTACTCTGCACTAAATATCCTAGTTAACTGCAAAAGCTGTTGTAAATCAAAGGAATAAGAGCTTCATGCCTTTTAGTGGTTGCATTAGAGTTCCCTTTTTGATAGATGAAATAAATAATCAATTTCTAACCTGTATTATGGTGATATACATCAAGCTGCACTGCTGAGCTGGTGGGTTTTGCTTAACATGGCGTTGATTCTTCAATGTTTTATTTCAGTTCTGCTGGACAATCTCAGACTGCAGCTGCCTCTTCTGACAAGGCTTTTGAAGACTGGTTAAATGATGATGTCAGCTCCTACCAAGGGTAATGTAATATTTACTGACTTTCTGAGTGCCTCTCTTTCTAGCATAATAAAATGTTTGAAGCATTGAAGAAAAAGTTTGTGATTCCAAATATTATTGTGGTGGGTTCCGAACCAGGGAATTCTGATTGTGTGTTTTACTGTACAGTAATTTGAGTTAAAAGAGGCATTTATAAAGCTTCTTTCATTCCTTTTCTCATTTTCATGTATCACTTTATTAGGATTTACTCAGCTTTCTGATGCCAGTGATTTGTTAAACCTGGAGAATCATTAAGACCACATTAGCTTCCACAGAGGAAATTATATAGAGCTAGGATTCCTCAGTGGATCCTTGGTGTTTTTATGAAGTGAGTAGTTTTATATTTTGGGTGCTGGCTGCTACAGGACTTTCTTTTCTATGTGCAAAAACAATTGTCATCCTTCCATGCTTTTCAGTTCTTGTTTAATGTTTTTAATGGCTGCATGCTGATACAGGCACTGTTTATTCTTTTTCTAGTGGCAGTGGCCAAGAGAATCGCTATGTGGGGTTTGGAAACACAGTAAACCCTCCAAAAAGAGAGGATGACTTCCTGAATAATGCCATGTCCTCATTGTACTCGGTAAGGAATTGCTTGGAGCTTTCTGAATTGCTGTTTTCTTCTCGTTTAGCCCCTGGTATAGGAGAATATGAATGGAGAGGAGAAACTAAGACTGCAGGTGGATATGGTGAGATGCAGAGTGTTGGTTGTATTCCCTAAGAGTGAAGAAGATACTGGTGGACTTTTACAGGCAAAATGGAAAAATTGAGCAGAACTTAAGAATTATGTTTGATATCTGTTCATAGAAATAAGTGAAGATATAGCAATAAATTAAGAAATAATAATCAACAGGGCAGAAGGAAAAACATGTAATTACCTGTGGGGAATAACTCTAAATCTGTTAACCATATTAGGGATGTTCAGAGGAAGACAACTGAAATGTGTGTTTATGTGGGTGCCAGAAGCCCTGAGCAATGATGAAAACATTTGAAATACTTGTGACAGGATGTGAAGAGATTACAGCATATGGCTGAACAGTTGTCGTGATTCAAGTAGAGATAGTGAAAGATGCATTGTTAAAATGGGAATAAAGTTAGAGGCAGTCAGGGCCATACTGCTGCTTTGATGGGCTACAAAGTCACACTGCTGAGCAATATTTGGGGTTTGGAGTCATTTGGAAATACAATGAGGTATTCTACCAAAGTTGGTGGCCGATAGCCCTCTGTAGAGCCTCACTACCTAAATACTCACACCAGGTTCCACTGTTTATTTTTAAAAAAATGAATAATTTCACTAGAACTTACCAGAGAAAGGTAACGCCTGAGCCTTTGAACAGGTTGATCACTATATTCCAGGTGATCCCACAGGCTGCTTGGTATAGATCACCTAGATATTTTCTAGGATCTCACAGATTTTAGGCCAGAGAGTTCAGATCAGAAAGCACAGCTGCAGTGTACTGCAGGTGAGCTAAGACAGCCAGGGAGAGGCGACACCGTTCCTGTGAGCCATTCTTTGAGCCCAGGATCTGCCTGAATGTCCTGGCTGGAATGCCCTCGTGTGAGCACAGACACACATTGCAGTGTGTCCTGAAGTCCTATATTTCTGGGAGGCTGAGTTCCTTGCATGGATGTTCATCCTGGAGAGGAAAACAATTTGTCTTCCACTGCATGGGAGGATTTTTCCCCACACTTGCAGCCATTTTAGCAGAGTAACATCTGAAACACTCTGGCTTGTTCAAATTCACACAAATACTGGAAGTACATCACTATATTTCAGTTATGTGAGGGGCTCTAATTTTTCTCTCAGTAGCAGGTAGTTCTTATGAATACAGGACAAGCTGTATTAGAGCATTTTGACTTCAGCTAATCTGTTTTCAATGAAAACTTGGTTATTTACTATTACTGTTCATATGTAGCTCATGACTTTCTTGCTTTCTTTAAAGGGATGGAGCAGTTTTACAACTGGAGCAAGCAAAATTGCCTCAGCTGCTAAAGAGGGTGTAAGTAAATAAAATGTGGTTTAGTTAGCAGTGGAATGCCAGAGGTGGTGATATGGATATTCTCTTTTCACTGTGAAATTCTGCCAAAGCTCCATCACCTTGGAGAGGATCATGCAGCATTTCTAAATGCATGTCTTTGAAAGTTTATTCCAGGTAAACCTGCATGTATTTGCTTCTCTTCACAGGCTACCCGATTTGGATCTCAAGCAAGTCAAAAGGTGATTATAGATTTAGCTCTTACTTCATCTTTAAGTGCCATGTGTTTGCCTGCTCCAATTGACTTAGATGTGATCATCAGCAGACCAGTGTGCTTTTCCTTCATAGTGCCCAGTAGTGTTTAGTTCTAGCTTTTAATTCCATGGGAATTGCAATCAGCTGCAGTGATCAAATTAAGCAAGAGATAAACAGGGATACTGTGCTGTTTGTTCCTGTTGGATGTATTGGAGAGGTTGCAGAGCTTGCAAACTTCAGCATACCCCTGGTTTACTCCTGTGAATCTTAAATGTGGTCTAGCTTAAAGTAGTTTTCTTGGTGATACAATACAATGCAAGCCAGCTTATATGGCTAAAGCCTAGTAAGATGTTACAAGTGTGAACTGCTCAATATTATTAATGAATCATCTTCCTTGTGTATGTTCTAAAAAATAGCAGTGACAAAAGGATTTCATTTATCAAACTGGGGTTAACACAGAGACAGACCTGATTACACAGAGCTCTGACATATGCAAGATCTGTCTGCAAGGAAAAGTTTTAAATTCAAATGTAAAAATTATAAAATAATAGAGATTCTTAATTTGCCTAGTTCTGAGTGAGATGTAGATATTTATAGATGGTTCAGGAGTTTTAATTGTAATATAACTCTGGTGTATGTGCAGCATTAGCTTGGTTGGCTTTCTGATAGGCATAGAAAGTATTGCTCAAAACCAATGTGCAGCTGCAGGTGCTGCTGTTCAGAGGTCTGTGCACTGGGATATTAATCCTTCAAATGGCCAAACCTGGGGATGTTTGGAACAAAAATGACTTGTTAAAGCACCCAAACTTCCCACTTCAATGCTTTGAAATATTTACTGCTTGGTTTACGAAAAATGAAGTTTTCTACAGGTCTTCCTCTTCACTCCCTCTGGCAGTTTTCCTTGTGTAATAAAAGCTGCTCTTTCTTTAGTATTATTAATAACTATAATATTAAGTTTAAAATCTCATCACATCTACTGACAAGGACTACAGCAACATGATGCTCTACAGTCTAAGCTCAGTTACTGAAGGTTAAATTTTGTTCCTGAAACTTCTGACCCTTTGCAGAACAGATTTAACACATTTTTGATGGACTACATTGGTTAAAGGTGTATGTGTGGCCCAGTGACCAAACACATTTCACTGTTTCTCTTGTCAGTAGATGTTAAAGTTGAAAAAGGTTCATGATACTTAACTTGCCTGAAAAAATGCTGCCAATTTTTTGCTAAAAGCTGCTTCTGCCTTCCTTACTCTTTTCTCTTTTGCTCTCTGGGTAAAGTTTTGGGGCTACAAGCAGCAGCCAGAGCCGGTAACACCCTCACATCTGTTCTTGTGCATGGACTCCTTGTCTGTTCGTGCTGAATTTGTGCATTTGCTCCTGAGCTGTCTTTTCTTTCTCTGCCTTACATCAAACCTGTTTAAAATAATGTTGTGTGCATTGTATGGTAAAATTTCTGCAAACCTAGTTAAAATTTGTGAAGTTGGATAGAGATACCCAAGCTGTGCACTGTTTGAAAATTAACTGTGCTGCTGTCCACACTCTGATGATTTCAGGATTTCTGTTTGCATGTCTGCCCCAGGAATGTGCCAAGAGCTGGGTGTTGCTGGAAGGCAGACACTTGAATGAGATGTTTGTTATTGTGGTTAGAGTCCTGTCCTAAATTCAGCTATAGGAAGGAAAGGTGAAGTGATTTAGATGAAAATAAAGTTGTAGCCAAATTTTTCTATTCTCCATTTACAAAATTATGAATAAGAGATCAGATAAGAATTCTTCCTGATTCTAGCAGTGGCTCCACTTGGACACCTGAATTGTTAGTCTGGGTGTGTTAAACTCTTTATTATCAAACAAGCACTTTGCTGTGTTCAGTAGAGTTCAGAGGGTTTTTCAAAGGTGAGAACACCCCCTTCTTGTTTTTCTTAAGCACTTTGTATCCTCACTTCCAAAGGTAACAATCCCTTTGTGATTTGCATTCATGTTTCTCACTAGGTGGAAGTGGGATTTCCTTTTGCCTTTGCTCCTCAAAGAATTTTTATCCTGTAAGGAGTAGGAGTACTGGAGCTAATGTCTGGGAAAGGGGGAGATCCTGGGAATGCAGTGGCTTAGGGAAAGGCTTTGTAGACACCTGGGAGTCTGTGGGGGAAAGATGTTGAAGGTGCTCCATTCCCAGTTAGAACATGAGTGAAGGCTCACACCCTAACCAATGGTAGTAATCAAACATGAACCCTTAGGAAATGAAACTTAATTGCCTTGCATATTGGCCCTTTTGGATTAACCAGGATAATTCTGGAGGTACTTAGTATGATATGGCAATTCTGAAGAAAATTTAAGTCTGTTGAAGGCTTATTATAGCAGTGGGCAAGTAATGATTTCAGACTCTTCTAAACCTGCTGTCCTTGTCAGCTTTGCCTTAGGAAAGTAATTTTGTGACTTGGACCATGGGCTTACATTTTTGTAAGATGCCTTTGAAGTACAATATCCTTGTGCATCTTGTTCTGGATTGCAACAGATTTCTGCAGTTCATTGTTTTTTCTCCCTGCAAGCCTGGAGCTTCAAAGGAAATAACAAGAATCTTCTGTCACAGCTTTAGCTCTTGTGTACTGCTCAGAAACACTTGGGCTCTTACTAACAGATGATAATTGGAGCACTATAAGACATAAAAATTGGGGAGAAATCAGCCAAAAAGATCTAATTCTAGGAGTAATTTAATTAGTATGGAAAAATAAGGGGAGTATGAACAAATATTCAGCTGCAGGTATTAGCAAGGGGCCCATCCTCAAAACTGTTGCAGATTGCACCATTGCTTCTGCTTCCAGTGCAAGGTCAGACTTTGCCTGGGCTCTGGGCATCTATTGCCATGTGTATCTGATTTTAATTTATTGTCTTTTAGTGTCTCCTGCAGCACTTTGCTGTGTGTGCTTTTCAACTCATTCTGCTTGTATGAATCAAAGCTAAAGGCTTCTTGTGTTTTTGGAGATACTGCTGAGAAATGAGCCTGCAGAAGTTGTGGGCTGTGGGTTTTTATTATTTTTTTTAAGAAAATATAACTGACTTTGTTTTTGTTTTGCTTTTAAATAGGCTTCAGAGTTAGGTCAGACATTAAATGAAAATGTTCTCAAACCTGCACAGGAAAAGGTAATTTTGGATCTAGTAAATGACTTGCAGAAAAATGCTTGTACTCAGGGAGTGGTTGATTCCTGCTACCTCAGCTGCCCAGGTTCTCAGGGGGTCTTTCTGTAAAGGGGAGACATAAACAACTCCAAGTTAGGCTGTTATCAGAGAAATGTTCATGGGGGTAAACTCCCTCCACCTTCCTTTCTCGTGTCCACCAGAGTCTGTCACATTCTCTCGTTAGATACCATTTTATAGATGTCATGCTTTCAATAATGGAAGATGGAACAAGGGGGAAATGCACCCTAAATGGATATAAAATCAGTTGTTTATATGTATATATATATATGTATATATGTATTTATATCTATTAGTAGTTGTATCTTGGAGTGTTAAGCTCCTAGTGTTTTACCTACCTGCCAGCTTTATTTTAATTCAGTCAAACATCTTTGAGCCATTTGAAAAGAATGTTTTAATCATACTGCAAACGTAATTCCTCTTCCATTACCTTTATTAATTTGCTATTCTTTACATGGCATTTCAAACCACAGGAGAAGACTGTAATTGGTTTTCTATTCCCTAGAATTACCCACAGCTTATTTCAGAGGCTTAGATGCATTATTTTCTTGGGGTTTTTTTTAGGGTGCATTTCCTTGAGCTGATTTTTATTTTGTAGGACAATTTAATGAGAAATTATGAATTTTGTGTTTAAAAAAAAAGAGTTAAATTTCCCTTAGGATATTGGGCTGTTAGTCCTAAATAAGTGTTGCTTTATGAAAAAAGTATTCTCTCTATAGTTATGCAAAGTCACTTGCTTTGGAACAACTGCCATTTATTAAGTGGTGAAAGGTACCTGTTGTATTGTGTTCCACCAAAATTCAAAGCCCTTTTAATATTTAAATAAGCATCTATAAAAGATTGACAATAAAAGGGACCTGCTACATTTCTAAATGCAGCCTTTATATGCAGTGTAATATATTGATAAAGCTTCATGTTTGCAGATGTTTTTTTGTAGTTGTGTTTTTATCATTACACTACTGCTGAGCAATACCTGAACTGTGTTTAAATGATACCTTTCTTAAACTGGGTGTAATACCTTCCTCAAACTGGGTTTTTAGCCACAGAAAATTCCCATGAACTCAAAGGACTGAGCTTCACTCCACTATAGATCAACAGACTTGATATATAATTTTCTTGACTTACTTAGTTTTGACTTAAATCTGTTTCATTTCAGCTTGGGGTTGGGTTTCTTGACATTTAAACACAAATGAGCTTGTCTGAAGGTTTCAGTAATACTTTGTTTTATGACTAATTACCAATACTTTGGTCCACATAGGTGAAGGAGGGGAAACTATTTGAGGAGGTCACCACGGGGGTATCGCAGTTGGCCAGCAAGGTATGAGGTGGCCTGCCTGGCTTTCAGGAGGCCAAACAAGTCAAGCCAGTCTCCATATTCTTAGAAAAATAATACAAAACCCCAGTGCAGCTTTGGTCTGTGCTTGTGTTGAATAGAGAAATTTGGAAATGGAATTTTCAGCAGGCAGCAAGTGGAATTTTCAGCAGGCAGCACATCTGCTGGGGTGTTTAAAGCTGCATAGGCATGGTGGTGTCCTCTTAGTAATGTGAATGAGGACATGGGGTGGTTACAAACAAAGAAAATGTGTGAGAGAATATGGAGACAGCTTGTGTTCCACGGGTACAGTAAAACCTGCTAATGCTCTGCACCTTTCTCCTTTGCCTTCCGCTGCCTTGGTGACGTGGTAAGTGCTGTCTGAGGCTGCCAAGCACAGAAATTCTGCACTAACACCTGCTGGCATGACTTGCATGGTGTTACCCAGGAGTGTGTGTGTCTGCTAGCACTGGGAAAGTCAGCACTGGAAACTCTCCCATAGACCGGCTCAGTGTCTTAGGTTTTGGTACTGTTTGAATAAAATAAAATAAATTATGTTACCTGTCCTGTTTAGAGCCTGGAAGCTCTCAGGCTGAATTCTGGGATTCATCCTCTCTGTCTCTAACTCAGAATAGTACCTTTCACATTGTCACTTCAGAAATTGTATTTCTAATCCTATTCTAGGACTCAGCTTTTGGCCTGTTTTATGTGGGTAGCGAAATAATGCTGAAACAAGTGAAAGTAGCTGTGTAGAGCAGTAGAAATATAAATACAAGTTACATTAATCATAAAACATCAGTGCTTTCATTAAATTTAATTTTATGTATTTAATTCCAGTGCTTTTGTCAAGGAAGTCTAGGAGAGAATTCAAAAGATGTTGCAACAATGGGTGAAAAACCTAAACCTGACCTACTTCCCACCTCTTCCAGCAGCACAGTGCTGTCAAATGTATGTTCTTTACATCCACGACGTTAACTGCCCCTCAAAAACCTTATTGAGCTCTGAGTTAAAAGTGTTTAATTTATTGGAACAAGTGGAGGAATTTGTTCTGGCTTTTGCTGGACTTGGCAGAGGTGTTGGTTCACTCCAAATGAATAGAGTGTCTTTTTTTTTCTCTAGGTTCAGGGAGCTGGGAGTAGGGGATGGAGAGATGTCACCACTTTCTTTTCAGGCAAAGCAGATGATAATACTGACAGGTAATATTTTGTTCTTGCTTTCTATCCCTTTGAAAATATATTTTTATCTCCTGTACATTCTCTGCAGTATAGTAGTGAAAGGTAATTTTTCAATATTAAGAACTTTGTCTTTACTGATAGTCCTCCTCTGTGTAATAGGGAGGAATTCAATATAACCTTGTTTATAACTGTTTTTAAACTGAGAACAAAGCAGTGCACATATTTTGGTTTAAAACTTACTCTAAATGCACATTCCCTTTCTTTGGGCCTGTTAAATCTCTTAACAAAAATCTGTGAATTAGACAACAAGCTTATGTCATTTGGAGCAATATTTAGTTCTTCCTTTACCATCAAGGGTTTTTTTTAAGCAAAGAGCAGTAGAATTGTGGCTTTCTTTGGTGTCATTTATTTTTACTGTTATGTTTGGCATAACTAATTTATTTCTACCTTCCTTTCCCCCTCACCCCACAAAAGACCAGCTGAGGGAGACAGCTACCAGAACAGTGGAGGGGAGGGCTACCAGAACAATGCTGTAGATCAAAGCTTCTGGGAGACCTTTGGCAACTCAGATGCACCAAAAGCTCATAAATCTCCAAGCAGTGAGAGCTGGACCTATGTGGACAATTCCACAGAGAAGAAGAGCTCGGATAGCTGGGACGTGTGGGGCTCAGGAACAGTCTCCAACAAGAACAGTAACAGCGACAGCTGGGAAAACTGGGAGACCAACTGGGAGAACACAGGAGGGGAGAGCAAGACCAGAAAACCTTCTAAGGCAACAAAAAATGTGTGGGATGAATTTTAGAACTGTGTTAACCCTGCTCTGCACAGCAGCAGGGAAAAGGAGGCTGTGCTGGTTTGATGGAGGGGAGGAAGTTTTACACACACCTGGAGTATCATGGCTGACCTTTCTGATCTGTTTGTGCTTCCCATTCATTCTCCTTCCGTATACCCTGGTATAGGGAAAAAAAAAGTAGCATCTGAATCTTTTCTTACATAAAGGTGGCTCTCACTTTTTTAAGGATAGTGATAAGTATATTCTCCTTGCACTGTTGGAGCTGGCTACAGCAACTTTCTTAACAAAAATATTAAAGGAAAGAAATCTGTGCAAGGACACTTCCATGGCACAACCTTGCATGTGTAGGTTAATAGGTGTTCATCCAGTCCTCATCTAATTTGAGATTTGGGGTGTTTAATGCAAAGAAAGGACAGGGTTTGACTTGGAAAGACAGCCACTAACTGGGCAGGCTGCAGTTGGATACATCGAGTTCTAATGCCTTATGGATTGCTCTGGCAATTCAAGATGGTCTTTAACATATTTTTTATTGGAGCTTTGTTTTTAAACATTCTGACATTATTTTTTTTAGTAGTTGAAAACTTATTTTTCTCCTTTAGAATTCAGAAGGAATCTAGAGCTAGATAATTATTTGTGTAAACTTGTATGTTTGACCTGAGCTCTCAAGGGATATCCAGAATGGCTCTACTTGCCCACCTTACTCAATTGATTGAGTTTGCACTCAATTGTAGTTTCTGCTACACAGAAAAGCAAAGGTGTTGTGTTTTCCTTCCTCACCTACGCCCTTGCCCCAGTTTGAGTATTTTATGTACTCTTTTTTCTCTTTCTTCCTTCTACCTGTGTAGTATTTTGTTATGCTGGTAAAAAATGAAGTCTTTTTGCTGCTTATGTCCTTCTGGACATGTGTTTGGCAACCTGGCAGTGAAAGAAAAAATTATAAAGAAGATTCCAGCAAGGAAAAATAGGTGGAAAATACAAGAACGTTGAGGAAAAAGCCTGGCAGCAAGCCCCTTTCAAGATGAGTCAATGTCTGGATTTAATAGTAAAATTTAATTTAAACAGATGTTTTCCAAATGATTCTTTAGTGTGTCAAGCTGTATCTCTGTTTCTGTCATATATTTCTCTACATTTTTTCCTGGAACTTGTTAAAGAAACACTACTTTGGAAACATGAGAAACTCTTGGTCAGCATTAAGGACTGGAACAGGAGATTCAGTCATGTGTCAGTTTTGACCCAACAATTCGCTTTGCATGACACGAACCATAACTTCTAGAGATTGTGACTTTAAACAGCAAAGATGTCATAGGTATCCCATTTTATTTTGGGGGATGGGTTGTGAATTACCCTGAGCACGAAAACAGTCAGCTCACTTGAAAACTCAAATCATGATGTTCTCTGTGGTTTGCTTTTCCAGCATGGAGTTCTTTTTGTGAGCCTTGTAGATCCTATTACTTACCTAAAAAGCCTTTTCATTTAAAACCTGGTTAATTTGTTCAACAACCGACTGAAGGTGTCAAAATTACCTTAAATAACACTCCACTTCTTTTACTCCTCATGGAGGTTTTTGAGCAGATAGTAATATCAACAGTTTTAAAAGGAAAGAAAATTAATTTCCTCATAAGTAGCAGATTTTAAAGGTTTAATTCTGAGTAGAAGTAGCTCTGTTTACAGCCTGAGTCTGTATTTGTATTCCTGGGATCTTTCAGATGGTGAACAGAATATTTTTCCAGTCTTCTCTCGCCTGTTCTGTGAGAGCTGGGATTTCTTTTTCCCCCTTGCCTCTCCTGAGAGTGTGGTCTGAAGCTGGTGGTCTCTGAGCCTCTGCAGCAGGACCCAGAGCTGCTCAGAGCCAAGTGCTGCTCCAGGCTGAGCCATCCCAAGGTGTCCCTGCTGTCACACACCCTGTGCAAGTGCCAAAGGCACGAGAGCTCTTTGTTTGCAGTGCTGTTCACGGTACCACTGGCACCAGTTCACAGCCTGACTAAAAGGATTTTTTTCTACTTTTTCTCCAGTTCCGAGTATAACTTTGTCACAGCTTAGCTGCATGTCAAACATAACTTTGTTTATTTTTATGCTTACACCTCTGTTGCCTCCTTGTCAATGTGTATGCTGCCCAGTCTGAAGCAGATTCAGCTTCTTCTGTGCAAGTTTATTACAGTTTCTCTTTCATAAACCTCTTGAAATGGCTTGTGGCAGGAGAATCTTTATTTCAGTCCACTCAGTCACTGGTATTGTGATGTGTGTGTGCACGTTCTCCTCAGCTGTGGGCTTTGCCTGGGACAAAAGTGGTTTATTTATGTATCACTTGCAGCCACAATTGGCATGAGCCATTTGTTTGTTCTTTTGATTTGATTTTTGTAGCTTTTGAAACTTTTATGTTCTAAATCAAACAGCCAGAGCCCTGCTCAGGCAGAAGCTTTGGGTAAGGACTTTTCCTCCAGTTGAGACAGGGACAGAACAGTTGCCATCTCTCTCGGCAGTGTTGTAGGGAAGCAACAAAGTACTACAACTGACAGAAAGATGTTATTGGAAGATCCAAATAAACCAATATAATGGCAGAAGGTGTAACTGCAGACACAAAACCTGTGTGCCACCTGGCCAGTTTGATGGGCAGATGGGCATTTTTTAATGACTTTTCTGAGCCTGAATGTGTGATCATGCCTTCCAGAGGAGAGGACAAAACAAAGGCATTTTCTTTTTTTGCACACCCACTGTTTTATTGAATTTTACTTTTTTTTTTTTTCAGAGTAGGTAGCTGGGAGGTTTCTGCACTGTGAAGAAAATCCCATCAAGTTGCATGTGCAGAGCAAGTGTTTATGAATCAGACTTTCTTATTTTTAAATTCCTCCTCCTCTCCCCAAACCCTCCCCTTTTGGCCTGATGAGGAGCAGAGGCGTTGAGAGGAGGCTGCTGGAGCTGAGGCTGCCTGGCTGAGTGAGGATCCAGCCGTGGATCTGAGCCTGTGCCGTGGCAGGGCCGTGGTGTCACCGTGGGCTCTGCCTGGGCAGGGAGACCAGGGCTCTGCTCCCCTCCATCCCCTCCCTGAGTCACAGGTTTAAACTGCCAGGAGATTTCAGTAGGTGAAATTGCTGCGCCAGTTGAACATTGCAGTGGCTTTGCATTGCATTTCAAATCCCCTGGTGACCCAAGCTTTTATTTCTTTGTATGGCTTCAACTTTGGAAAATACAGAGCAGCTGGATTCCTGCAGGTGGTCTGATACAAGAAAAATGGCAAGAAATCAAACTAAGTGCCACTTGCAAAACAGTGAAAGTCTTGGAGAATGCTCCCAGACATAATTCTGGGAGTTAGTGATTGTTTTAAAATATTTTATTTGTGTATTGAAACCTATTAATAATGAGTACAATTCAAGAAGTGCTTGGCCAGCTCTCCCTCGTGGTTGAGACCTCAAGGACAATGCTGCTGCTTTTATTTTCCAGGCCAGACTGTAACATTCCATGGGTTCATAATGTACTTGTCAGTGTAATGGTCTGTGCAATAATTTAACAAGTGTAGATAAAACCTTTGTTTAATCCAGGATACATTTAAAGATACAGTGATCATCTTGGAGAATAGCAGTCTACACAAGTACTTCAGTATTTCTTAGTTTATTCTGGCTGAAATACTAAATTTCAGTGACCCAGGTAAAGGTTTGAGCAATCAGTGATTTAAACAAATTAACATTTCCATGGCCATTATTAAGAGTTTGGTCCTAATGGCTGAGTGGCCTCTAGCTGCAGAACCCTCTTCATTTCCATGCCAGCAGAAACTTGGTCAGTCTGGAGTACTGTATCTTTAATTTTCCTGCAGTGTTTTTTTGTGAAGTTCACAGGAATGGCAATTTCAGTGAACACTATTCATTGTTCTGTAGAGTGGTTCTGGACTTGAACTGCAGTGTCATCTTTTAAAAAGTATTATAATAAAGCAAAGAGATCTGGAGCACAATGGTGGTCAGCCCTTTTTCAGGAGACTCCGTTAATTTTCAACCCAGGTACTGGTGTCAGGTATATTCTTCCCCGCCAGTAACAAAGGAGAAAGGAAGCTGCCAACATTAATAGAGCCAAAACCATCTTTTTATTTCATTGGAATTTCACAGTCTAACTTCAAACTCTTAGGAACAGTTTGGAGACATTGTTTGCCTCCTTATTTAAGGAGAGCTATAAATAGAAATTAAAGTGCAGATAAATTTATGTACTCTGAAATCTTTATTAGCTTGTCTACAGAGGCACTTATTGCAGCAGAAAAAGGTAACTTTTAAAGCAGTTTTCCTGCAAGAAGAGTCCTTTGACAAATCCTTCAGCTGTGGTGGTGTTCTACATTCAGATTCCAATTTCCTCCATGAGCCAAAGAACCACGTGAGTACTCCAGATGACTGCATTTCATGGAAATTTAAAATACCTTCTTGGTCAGTAGGACTGAATCCTACTTGCTGTGTAGAGGTAATTTTACTGATTTTTACACTAAAAAAAAAGGCCATTTGTTTTTGATAACATCACGGGTATTTATTCCATGGACAGGCTGTGCCCATCCTTCCTGTAAGGGCTGCTGAGTGGGGTGCAAAGTTTTCACATGGGAAGTAAACTGGACATTCTGGTTCTGGTTCTGGAAAGAGGATTTGGGCCTTTTATTCTGACAATATCCAGAGTTAATGACCTAAAAACAAAACACCAAGGAAGCAGTGATATTCATTCTGGATTTCAGACTGAGCACAGTCAGTAAAAGCTGATAGTGGAGTCTAGACTAGAAAACACTTGAGACCAGCAGACAAAATGCTTGGACTTGAGGGAGGACAGGTCAGTGCTGCATTGCCATGTCCCACTCTGTGCTCTGATCCCAGCGCCAGCAGCAAGTCCAGCTGGAGCCTCCTGCCACTGCTGGTCTGTGTAGGTGCCCTCCGAGGCAGATGCAGGCTCAGAAGGTGACTCTGGGCTCCACGGCTCACTCCTGGCACACACCAAGCACTCTGAGGTGTGCAGGCAGGCACTGGGCATGTGTCCTGGTTTCCTTCCTTGTGCTGTCCCACCTCTTCCAGAATATTTGTCCACAGGAGCCATCTGCAGCAGGCTTTGGGCTCAGGAGCTTCACCATCACCCCCCAAACTCCACAAGGACCCCCTGAGGCTCTGCACCTCCCCACTGCTTTGGCAGAGGTTTGCAGGATGCAGCCATGGGGTGAAAACTGAAAATCCCATGAGGAAAATGAGATGGAGCTGTGCTGTGGGGAAGCTGTAAACGCTGCAGCTCTGACAGACCTGCAGTGTGATCGTTCCTCAGCTGGTCAGTCACTGATTTGCAGGAGAGGCTGCCTGGCTGTGCCAGCAAGAAGCTGCATCTCCTCAGGAAAGCAGGAAAAGAAAGGTCAGCTCCTCCTCTGAGCAAGGTGCTGATGTTTGCTGTAGGTGAGATAAAACCAGCCTGGATTTATCCTCAAATGCTGCTTTGCTTTCAGTCTGAATTTCACCAACACAGCCCTGATGGCAACGTTTAAACTGGCTAAAAACAGAAGAGATGAAAGAAATACTGAAAAGATCTCCAAGGAGAAGCCTCCTGTACTTGCAGTTGCTGAGAATGAGTGGGAGAGACTGAGTCTCTGGCGGGGCTGGCTGCAAGGACTGCCAAGAACAATCATGTTGTACCTCACCAGGATGGTGACTGCTGCTCAAGCAGGAAAATCCAGTGCTATCAGCTCTGCACACTTTGGAAACCAGTTCTTGTCTGTCCCTCTAAGCCCTGCCAAAGTGTGCTCCTTGGAGAGCAGCCTTGCTGAGGCTGGTGAATTTTACAACAGATAAATCAGCTTCTGCCAGGAAAGGCAGACAGGCTGGAGTGTGTCTTTTATGAAAAAAATTTCGCCACTTCTGATTGAGAAGTGCTGCTGCTTGATATCAGCAGTTCTGCACTGGATTGCTCATCTTGCCTTCAATGGAATGGTGTTTTAGTACCTAGGGCAAAACCTACTTGTATATATGTTTTTTCCCCTACTCTGCTGACATGGGTGGTTAATATATGTAAATTGATGTGCCAGCCTATATAAAGGCTGTTGTGATCAAGGTCAAACTAGAAATTTTCCTTCTTACAGAACCTCTTCTGTGTGTTGCTGTTGCATTGAAGCTTGATAGCATTCAAGAGGGAATTGCTATTTTAATTCTGTGCTCACAAATTGCCTATTGACTCCAGCCATCAGCTGTCACGTTTAGGCAGCAGCTAAATGCACTGGACTTGAATTACAAATCTAGTCTGCCCAGACAGGGCTTCACCAGTCAGGTCAAGCTGCCCAGTGTTACTGCAGGCCTGGCAGCAAGAGATAGAATCTGAAGCTCAGGCTGCTGCAACTCTCCCAGGCTTCTTGCCCACACCAAGGTGTGTCTCTAAGCTGGTCCCAGACCTTGGGAGGGAGCACAAAGCATATCAAAGGAGTGGAATAAATACTCCTTGTGTAACCTAGGCTGCTGGTGAGATCCCAGCTTGTCAAATTAAACCTCTGCAGGACAGACTCCCCCATTCCCACATCTGTTAAATGCCTGTCCTCTCTCTGATGGTGGTTGTGAAGAGCTTTTACCATCTGCTAAAGGCCACCCAAACCCTCTCTTGCACTGGGCTTGAGGAAGGACTGGGACAACACCAGCTCACATATTTGATGCTGATCCAGTGAAGGTGTCCCTGCCCGTGGAGCAGGGGCTGAACTAGATGACCTTGAAGGTCCTTTCCACCCAAAAGTGATTTTATGATTCTATGAAGATGCTCCTTTCAGAGCTGATGGCACATCTTCACTTGTCACTTCACCTTCCTCAGAGGAGGTTGTGTCACTGGGCATGGGTGGCTCTGCAGGAGCCTTTTGTGAGGTTTGGATAGCTGGATGCAGGGCTGGAAATGTGTTCCTGCTCATGGAGCTGTTACCCACAGCCCCATCCTCTCTTCTGCCTGGCACTTTCATGCTGCATTAAGCAATCACAGGGCAAATTCCTGTCCTGCAACCACACACAGGTACTCCTTTGATTTTATTTACTGCCTTGGGATTCCAGCTCTCCCATCTCTCAGCCAGAGTGCACCAGGCTGGATGGAGGGAGTTTAAAGCTCAGGCTGTAACAAATACCAAATATCTAGGCTATGTGTGATCCCTGGTATCCTGACCCTTGCTGTTAAAGCACTGTAAGCCCTTTGTGAGGAGGAAGAGCAGACTGGTGGTGCAGGGCTGGGACAGGGCTGTCTCTCACTGCTCCCCACACAGGCTGGCAATAGCCAACAGCTCTTTTCAATGGATCATGACAGGATTACAGTTCCCCTGCCAGGCGTGGTTCCTTTGGCTGTGTTCAGTCCAGGCTAATTGTAACGTAATTAGCACATTCCCATCATAGCAGGAGACTGGAGACTTTCCCACCTCTGAAGCCTGAGCGTTGCTTCTCCGAGAGAAATGTGGGTCTGGATTTGGCCATGGCATGGCCCTGACCTACACCAGGGTGGCCAGACCATGCTGAGGAGCTCGGAGTGCTGCTCTGCAGTCTGCAGCTCCCTGAATCATAGAATCATTTGGATTGGAAAAGACCTCCGTGATCCTTGAGTCCTGGGAGGTTTCTGTGGAGCTGGGACAGCAGAAGTGCCACCCAGAGATGTCCCAGAGCAGGGACAAGGGAGTCTCTGTGTCCCTGTCCCCATGGTCTGCAACACCTGATGTCTAAAAAACACACTGAAGAGCCTCACCCTGAGGGTGATCAGGGGGAATTAAACTCCTCTGCCCTGCTTTGAATTCTCACACCCACGCTCTGGTATGGGAGCTAAAAGTTAAGGACTGTTTGAAATGTTTCTTCTGATGTTGAGGAATGGGGAAGTGGAGGTGACAAAGTTCCGTGTCTTGTTGTGTAAGAGCATTTCTAGCATTTCTTTTTTTGTCATTTTTTCTTTGTTGGTTTTCTTTTTTCCCAATGAAAACTTTTATTAGTTCATAAAGAAGGTGAGTACTTGGTGGTGTTTTCATTGAAGCTGCAGGTCCCGAAGCAATGCAATCATGGGAGAATTTAATTTTTCAGTGTTGTTTGTTTGTTTGTTTTCCAAGCTGAAGTTCTATTCCTTGTAGTTCTGGAGAACCAGGACTGAGCTGTATTTGTTTACAATTTTAAGGGCAACAAAGATACCCCCATTTATTACTTTGAAGCCAACCAAATTATTTTGTCTTGCATTCAATTGCTTTGGGTTAGCAGCCTCTCTTTTCTGTGGAAATATGCAACATATTGCTCAAACATCTGAATTTTTTTTTCTCTGGAACAAAATGAAGGACAATCAATGACAGGAGAGCTCCAGCTCAGATAACTGGGTAATGAGAAATTGCTGAATACCGTGTTCATTTTCTGCCACTAGATGGAAATAAATCTTCCACTTTTCTCTGAGAGCACTGCTGTCCTCTGGCAGCCTCCAGCCCCGGAGTGCAGCATTCCCCAGGGTGCTGCCCTGGTGCACAGCAACCTCCAGGCTGGCTTTGCTGCCTACAGGACATTCCCTGGCTGCTGTGGAGGAAGGACCTCTGTGGAAGATGCCCCCAGAATTGCTGATGTGCTGTTCCAAGCAGGGGGGGTTGATGCCAGGTTGATGCCAGGTGACCTCTGGTGTTTGCTGTGCCACGGACACCAAAGAGTTAAGCACAAATAGCCCCGGGGGTGGCCTGTGACCTTTGCTGACAGGTGGAAACAGCTTTTCCCAAAGCAGCAGGGAGGGCCTGGCTCCCAAACAATGCTGGGCACTCTGCTGCCAGCCCAGCTCCGGGCTCCAGCCCAGGTCAGCACACCTTGCTGGGAACAAGGACCTTCCCCCAGGGAAATGCTCTCTGGCAAGGACAGCTGGCCTGGGGAAGGGATTTTATCAAATCAAATCAGGGATTTTATTGTGTTGATGTTGGCAGTGAAATCCTTTTAAAGTTTTTTTTAGGATTTTTTTTTTGTTTGTTTTGTT